GGGTTCAAAGCACGCCGGTGACAGTGACTAAACCACTGCGCCATCACCACCCTTGTTAATTGGAAACACTCGTTAGATTATATTTTTTTAACTTTTCGCTAAGTGCAGTCTCATCTCTTATGATTTGGAAAAATCAAGCCCTACTGATTTATTCATCATGCAACAAAACGTCACAGTTTACCTATTGGTTAATCCAAAACCTCCGTAAATGTTATGTTACTCAGAAAGTTATGGTCAGTTTGGGTCAGATCGAAGCATTTCGCGGATCCCTTGGAACAAATTGATTCATTCATTTATGGTCACAAGCATATGCACTAGGGAAGTATCCAACCGGTTCCGGAGCATGGGCACAGCTCAGCATGGTGGAAACCATTCATGGTTTTTGTTCGACCGCGAATCGTGTAGCAGGGAACGGACAATGTGGGTTAACCACACACAGAGTTGGAGGTATAGTTTGCCTACAGTCGCTTGATAAACAGTTCAAACCGAGGTGGTGTGACAAAACCTTTTAATATCGTTGCAAAATATTGATTTTTACTGGTTTCTCATGATGCTTGGCAAACAAAGCCCACTTGGTCCAGTTACACACTGTGATCACATTTTCCGCGTCCAGCTAAACAAAAGTAACCCCTTCTCTCTCTCTCTTTCTCTTGGCCGATTGCGTGTGTGGTAGCAGGCATGTGTACTTCTGAGGGAAAATGTGGGAGGCGTCATTTATACCGATGATCTCTAATAAGAACGAAACTAGAGTCAAATGCTTTCGAGCGTATGGTTGAGTGGAACAGCTCAGGAATGTGGGTGAAGATAGTCTGAAGGCTGTTCATGTCCAATCATTCAATATCAATTATCCCACACCCCTACTCACAATTATTTGTTAGTCATTTGTATAACACCGTAAGATGAGCAATTTCAGTCACGTTTTGTTATACTAAAATTGCATACAGGAATATTGTTGACCTCATAATGGACCAATGTCTTTGATAGATAAATCATCAATTTAAAGCATTTGCAGGAATAAATACAACGCAATAAAATAAAACAATATTTAAACAATGTATGTATATTTCTAGATTGAACAATTTCGGGTTTGGTATGCAGTGTAAGTCAGTGAGCAGTTCGACTATTTTCTTGTGCTTCCTGTATTGCTTTGATAAGACCGCAAACTACTTATATTTTCTAAGTAGTTTGCATGGATTACCAAAAGTTCGCAAATGTTGAAAATAAATCAAAACGATTAAAGTGAAGAACATGACAACTAGGCTCCATGTCGAATAATGAACCAGAGCTCTGTAATCAACTCAAGTTTGTGGTTTTGTCATGGCCTGATACTCATCATGTTTCAGAAAAATAAGCATGTTCTCCTACCCCAATAGTTCTGTGCAACTCACGTGACCTTTGATCTTGGCACTGAGTTTTCTCTAGTCACTGGTTTCGCTGTTTAGATATTTGTCATGGTTCTGATCAAACATTCACAGATAAATGCTTGTACACATAGCCGAAGAAGTAACGCGAAAAACAGCTAAATTCAACCTGTTCTGTGAAAATGATGCTTTTTCTCGCTCTGATGAAAATATTCTCCCTGAGACAACCAGATCTCTTCCGGTTCTACTCATGGTTAGATCAATACGAGCTATATCACGTGGAACCTTCAATCATATAATCGATACTCACCTCCATGACAATAGTTCATTTCAATGATACACTTCTCTGCTGGACAATCGAGCATATTTTCCAAACTACCCGACTGTGTTAACTGTTCCCGATCCGGATGCAGGCGGAAACCGGTGATGAGTTGACAAATGCCGGAGGAACGCTGTTTCGTGAAAATGGTCGCCTCACACTCGGACGCCTGCATACAAGCGGAACGACAGGCCTCCTGTGGGGTATGACGTACATAACGGAATACTGTGCCAGAGTACTGCTGTTCCGTGGTTGTGGATTTCGTCTCGAAACACTCATCGAATGCTAGCGATGCGGTTGGATAGTGATGAACGAGGAGAAAATGAATAATTGATTGCTTACGCGACTGTTTTCCGCGCAACACAAAAACAATTTAAAAAATGTCTTTTTACTTCCTTTTTCTATTTATTGAATATACGAATGTACAGTCAACTTTCAGGAAGGGAGGCCGCGGCCATACAAAGGCTGCCTGGGTAAAAAAACAGATATAGCGAAGACGGGACACCCTGGTCTCTAATGGTGACCTAACCACTTGGTCACCACCACAAACTGACGGAGTGAAAATATTTGTGTCCGACATACACATTCTGGTGGTGATGGGTTCACTCGAAACTAACCAAACGCATAATTTTCGGGATAGAATGACAACTGTTGTGATCACTTGGCGATTGTGGTATAAATGTTCATTCAAACATTATATATAGAGAACAAACTGGAGTAACTAATGACCAAGGCAGAGTTGGAAAAGAACTAAACGTTAGGAGTTCACTTACAAGTACTTCTGTTTAAAGCATGATTAATGGGTTGTATTTTAACATGCTAACATAGTGAACATTAGGCAAGAGCAACAAAAAATTGTGACGTTCTGTTTGAAATAATTTTGCGTTCTGAGAGAAAAAAGAAAATGCATTCTTGGAGATGATCCGTACGAATTCTTTAGTGATTAGCAGATACTGTTAGAATTCCGATCTCCACCAACATGGAATGATTCGGGCTGAGGAGGGTAGTTGAATACCCTAGGAGAGTTTGGGTCAAATTGTCCTGTTCACGTGAGAAAAGGACACCGGGTGAAGGGTCGGACGACCAGCCAATTTGATCCGTGCCGAGGTTATTATACTGTCGCTTCTGGTGGTTGCAGAGAACGTAAAGCATTACCTTGACCGGATAAGACGAAATGATAGGCTTAGTGAAACGAATTACATTCAATTTAGTCTCACAGAGAATCCCGCCAGACAATGGTAAATTTTGTACCCACATCACAGATAATCTGGTCGAATTAGGAATGAAGACGATGTGCTCAACATATTGAATCGCGTCGAAGAATCAAAGCTGATCTTTGCCACGTGACGTGCATGGAATAATTACAGTGATGCCCGATAATGTTTTAAAGTATAGCGGAACGTATAGACCCATCGGTTGGTTCAGACTAGCAATATGACAAAATTGCCAGCTGCTGTTGATCCAGTCAAGATACTCGCGGGATGGAAGTCGATAGGGTTATATGAGCCCGGGAATGCAAGACTAACGTCTGTACATGACACAATTCCGGTTTGGAGAACAAACATCAACATCCGTATCTTAAGCTACAATCATTTCACATTATTTCCCGACTAAGGTTATATTAAATATCCGTCGTCGAAATTAAAAGGTCCACCGCTAACTTTGATCAGAATGTCACGTTTTAACCATGATTTTCGAATTAGTACATAAAAAAAAACTTTCAATGGGTGGTACTAGGTATGACAAACGTAATCTGCATACACGGAAAGATGATTAAGCCCGCTGGATAAAGGGGGTGGTGATAGTATAAATTCTTGTCACAGTCACTTCATCGAGAGGTTGCGTCATCATGAAAGAGGTTCCGGTAAACAAGACGACCATAAAGCTCAATGGGAAGGGGGATTACAAAGTATACACATTCACCTGACGCAAATTGGTCTTTGTAGGTCTTAGAGAAACGGGAAACAACAAACCTGTAGTATAATCACTCAGTTATCCCATGTTAGATTCTTAAAATTTGTGTTAATTTCACACCGTTGCAAAGGAAGTGAATGAAATTTCCCGTTTCGATTCTACGCTGTATGTCACTTTGATACGAATCATCACATATCAACACCGGGGTTATGACGAGGTCGGAGGAATGACGCTTCCGTGACTAACGTTTGCCATCGAGAATCAAAAACTCCTAGGAACTCTATGCGACTTCTATATGATCCCACATGATTTCAACATACGGAAAAGCTGTCAATTTACCCCATTTGTTTTCTGATTTCAGGATGAGTGAGAAATAGCCAACTGAACGGGTTTTCTGGTTTGGAAGTGATAATTCTTACAAGCAAATTCAATACACTTGGGGGAAAGCCACCTGTTTCGTCCCAAACTCGTTTGCCCGTTTGCGCGCACTTGAAGTCCGAGATTTGAGAATACAAATAAAATATACTAGCTAATGATGGTTTCCAGAATGTTACTGAAATGTGAGTTTCTAATTTCATTTGATTCGATTTCATAACGCATTGCAACAACCGGCTGGCAAACAAAAAGTAGACTGAATCCTTTGATCTTCATCAACTTGATCGGGTGAACAATAAACAAATGGTAGAGCGGAGGTCTGAAAGAATTCAGAAAACTGTGAAATAGGCATTTGAACAAATGACAGACAATGAGCTAGTGGTATATGCCAGTGCAGATCAACTATGATCTTTAATGCATTTATTCAACGTATCGACAAATTTCAACAGCAACACAATTGAGAGACCCGTTTTCACAGCTAATAAATGACACGTACCGTTTTCGATGTACACACTAACCAAGCAGACTTGGAGTTGTGTGCGGCTTCGAATTGCAAGCCAACGACCGGAATATGCGGCCGGGCATTGTAGAGTCACTGCTTGGCTTGTCATTGAGATTGGTTCGTTCGCGGAACATTCATGGAATTGCGCGGATGTCCAAGGCAAACTGAGTTTGGGTAAGTTTGAAGTGTTCATTGCGCTCTTTTCGGTTTCCAGTTTCTCTATGACGAATGCCACAACTGGTTGCGATTCATCTGCTGTAAGGTGAAAAGAGAGAAAGTTATCCAATAGGGGGCATTTGATAGCTGTGCTTACGAGAAACGGGTGGAACAGAGAAATGCATAAGAACTGTAAAATACTACTACCACTCCTCGTCCTTCCCAACCCCTTCTCCTCACACTACTACCATTACTATTACCGTTATAAGTAGCATGTTTGGGTTGTGCAACAGAATGTGATTGGTTGTTTTTCTTAACAGTCAAAGATGAACAAGACCGCTTGAACCTGGTTAAGGTATTCAAAATGTTAACTACGGGAAATGCGCATCCGTTACGCGAACCGTTTCACTAATTAACCTGTGTGTTTGTGTGGGAGTTCGGGAAACTTGTTCCAAATCCGATATTTTGTTCTATATATGCAAATTTACCGATACTCTTATCTTCAACCGCAATAAGTGATTATCCACGTCCCGGCTCCATCTTGTGGTTTTAAAACATTAGTACCACTAATAATGATGTTAATACTACGAATAATACTGCACTACTACGCTAGTACTACTACACTACTACCATAATACGAGTACTACTATCACTATTATTGCTACTATTACTACTGCTAATAATATTACCAGTATTATCACTGCTACTTTTCCTCGTATTCCTCTTACGACTACTGTTACTAATAATAAAGATAGTACTATCATCAGCAGTACCGCTTACCAATTCTAGTAATACTATCATTATCAATAATATTGTAATTATTGTTATTTTTATTATCACTATCACCAATGTACATGGTATATTCAAGTGAAGAGAGAATTGAAAATATGCACTTACAAACCTCGAACACCACACGGAGTCAGACAAATAAAAAGCTTCCACGTATTGCGAAACAGATTGCTGTCAACAAATCATTGAATCCTTGAATTTATCACAAATATCGTTTTTCCAGATAAAATCAATCTTCATCAGATTAGCTATTTTTAATTTATATTATTCCGTGACTCTCAATCCGATTGAGAACCAGCCCTAGTTTTTTCTACCTCCCTCCTGTTCACATAATTTTTTCTACACTGGTTTTTGTGTCAGCCCTAATGAGCTTGTTAGCTACTACACAATCGTGAGTTGTTTTATCTGACAGCCGTGACCTTTTTGGAGGTAGCTGAATTTTTTCGGCTGATTTTTGGTTTTATAAATGGCTAAGATTATTGCCTGTTGTTTGTTTCGCACGTAGCGTCAATTTTTTGCTTGACTGTTGAGGTTTCCACACAAGCGACATTGATATTAGTGAGGCTCGTCAACACTTTTGTTGGTGGTTGGGCCCTTACACACAGGTTCCTTCAAACTGGAAAATATGTGAACACGGTTGAATGAGGATTTTGAGTGGCTGTCATTACATGTAGTGGTTGTGAAACATCACCTCAATAACGAACGTTCTGTATTAAACTGCGGACTGGAATCAAGTTAACGGTAGCCATACCGATACGAAAGTAATAAAGGGACCACCAGCAGTGTCAAAATAACTGTACAACACCATCAACAAACGGAGTTCTTGGAAATCTATTCACATCCCATTCCGCATGTATTAAAGACCGGAAAGGTGTGATAAAACACTGCTGATGTGATAGGGGCAAACGAATTATTGCACCGTTTATTTGACTCGTATTACGTAATTTGTCTGCTTGAAAATGGAATATCGTTCTCTGACTTCAATGCCTTGGGTCCTATGCGGGCAGATGTGATTTGAGAAATGCTGGGGAACAAAACAATGGATAATATTTCCACGTCTACTCTGTGCAAACGTCATTCAGACGGTAGATTTGTTCTCACAGAAGATCAAACACATGAACCAAGTGTTAACTGAACTCATCCACGCCTCTCTGTGTCTCATAAAGCAGAAATCAACAACAGTCTAGCGTTTATCGGTATCAAAGTTACAAGGTGAATAAATGGGACATTGCAAATATCAGTTTGTCAAAAAGTGACACGAACAAGTCAATAATGACAATTTATCAGCTTCATTTCATGGCTTACAAACGTGGGTTTGTGAACACCCGATTTCGTGTCATCATATGCGCATACGCGTATATGTCAAAACATTCCTGTTACAGGAACCCAAGTATTAGGTGTTTTCACACACCGATTGACAATAAAATAAATTTTGCCTCCTTCTTTATTTATTGAATATCCAAATGTACAGTCAGCATTCAGGAAGGGCGCTGCGGTCATGTAAAGGGGAATTTATAGAAATAGGGAAGACGGGTAGCAATGGAGCGGTTTGATCAACCTAACCAATGCCATTTGAGTAACTGCGTTGGACAAGCCGGTGATTTTCCTCTCCGTGTCCTGTTCACTCTTTGCCAATGTGTACGCTTACTCACGATTAGGTCCGCATGCGCTTTCATCGGGTGGTAATTTCAAACTGAAATGAATCGATCTTTTATACGATTCATGCATGATAGGTGATGCAAAAACCATGTGAGGAAAAGGCTATAACTTAAATCTTTTTTTTGCATTACGCACTTGTGACGGTGGCGAGCGCTGCTTCTTTTCCATGATACCCACTTTAACTGTGTAATTTCACATGAAAAAAAATGGTTTCCCCAAACCTTAAGGGGTCATTTATCGTTACAAACTGATGAATGACATGAAGGCATCTGTGGTGACAAAATAGGGTATGCCAATTTCAATGGGAATGAGTTGAGTGATGGTGCCCGATTTGTATTTGATAGAACATGCGGTATTCGTATGCTCACCGAATTATTCGAATACCCGGAAACGAAATGACAAGGGATCACATTTGCAGTTTGTTCATGTGGGCGAAAAAGAAACTGTATTCTGCTGTCGACATAGACTGATTCGAAGAATTCATGAAATAATGTGTCATATAAAATACTAGTTATCCGAGAAGACTGGTTGCAAAATTTGACTAGGCAGTTCAAAGAATGTCAAACCGCAAAAAACCATGTTCAACAATATACCAACGGTAATTGCTTAGTTGAAGATGGCAGAGTACAAGGACGGGTATTTTCCGCATCATCGGGAATACTAGAAGACATACCTTTGAACGTTCTCATTCTCTTGATACATAGACAAATAAATACGTCGGACGTCATTGCGAGATTCAGGTACAGATGTGATTGATCCAAAATACACATGTGGAAAAGTGATCAGCATTGCGCAAACAAGTTTACTAATCCCACACATAAAATCAGGTGAGGTTTGGGGGGGGGGGGGCTTTCTGTCCAAAGCGTAGTCTCGCGTTCTCATCCCACAGTCAGAAACAAAGTGAGCTATTCGTTCCGAATTCTTCCGGATTGCTTGTTCTAGGAATCTGAATGGCTACGTTCGGAGTTATTACATCTCACGGTTGCTGTTCGTCAACAAATTGCTTCTCAAAAAGTGTGGCAAACCTTTGAAACATGTTCCTAAGTCGGGTGCCAAAACACTCCCTCCCTTGAGCTTCTGTGAGGGTGAAGTTGAATGAAAACAGGAAAACAAAACGAACAATTTCAGCAATCTAAGCTGTTCATGAGCACCAGAGAAAGTTGAAACCCGAGGTGATACTTCTTCTGTCCCTGGATCTCCAAACGGACGATGCCGTTTTTGTCTCTTACGCCACAATAAGAGCACACTCTTATCATGGCTCTTACAAAAACGGTTCAAATTCAGTGTTGTATGTTTTGTAAATGCCAAAATAAGTACCTTAATTGGGTCTAAACATTATATACAATGTACAGTTACATTTTATTGCCAGAGAATGGTGCTCGTTTCATCGCCACCAATCGGTAATTGCCGGTTGAGCCCATCTGCAGGACACATCCCAAAACACACTTACTTGCGCCTTCCGCCGCAGAATGTGACCAAGCTGTAAATAATTGTCAATTTTTCTCATGTGAAAATGCAAACAACGATGCTAAACGATACCGTGCGAACAGTTTATTGTTGGCCGGCAAAACAATCCATTTGTGTTTTTTTTCCAGCACATCAATTTGAAGCAAGCATGCAGCGCTTACGTAAGCGTAATTCATCAATCAGTGTCTCGCACGTAAATGTCTGATTTTTTTATCTACCATAACAGTCGAACCGAATGAGAGTACGGTTGTTGAAACCATTCCCACCGGCCATTCTGATGCATCACAAATGTCTGGAGATTCACTCGATTGATATGGTGTGCATGTGGAACTGCCGGGTTCCGGAATGATCCTGGCATTTCACAGTTCGTATTTGGTGAACAGAGAGGAGGAAGAAGACAACAAACAAGAACCAAACACTACCGCTGTGATTCAATCGAACCGCGCCCCCAGTGAATTGATTGAGAACCGAGAGAACTGACCGTTATCCGAAAAGCTCTCCACCCCGTCAACAGAGGAGAGCTGTTCTGGCACCGAATTTACAATCAGAAACTGGACGAGTTTTCATGAATGTTACTAGTTAGTCGAAGCAGGAGAGAGAACAAATATCACACCTTTTTGAACGTGAAAACAAATGTGTGTAAACTTTCGACCAAACTGGTGAATTGGAATAGTTAGTCTGCAAGACTGTTAAAAGAACCAGGTTCAGGGACCTGATCAGATTGAAAAGAAAAACATGAACTGGATGACGTACTTTCCACTCCGCATTTAAGCTCCGCGGTAGATAATACAAAACTCGTCGTCTCTTTCTGTCACAACAAAACAAGTTAGGGATTGATGTCATGGACGCATTATTGACACCGGTCGACGTGTACTGTCTCAACCACGGCTGTTGGACTTAAAGAGGCTGGATGTTACAGGTGTCCAGACACATGGATTCGTTGTCAAGGCGCCTGGAAGAGATTTCGTGCTAATATGATTTATGTAATGCTTGTTAGCGAGGTGGGAAAATCCGGTCGTTTGATTTGCTAATCCATTCTGGATAAAATCGCTTCACAATCGAGGACTAACCCTGACGAAATGGAAAGTCTGTTGAAAACGAGTTTGCATTACTAAGTCCGGAGTGGCCGCTTTTAGTTGGAAACGGGACGTATCGTGCAAAGTGTTGCTCAATGTTTCGTACAGCCAATTCTGTGAAACATGATGTTTGCTGGACTGTTTCCCAGCACACATAGTTCTCCAATTTACTGATCATTCTTTATCGTATCTTTAGGGCAGCGTCATCATTTGTTACGACCAGGGCGATCGGACAAATGCGATGCATCAAATCGTAGTCATTCCGGTTGGCAACACTTGCGGTAAGTATGGACCACATTATGTGCACATTTACGTTGCGCCTCTTTGCGGCGTCCATGAGGAGATTGTTTTATTTTTTTCAAAATTTAATTCATTGGAAATAAGAAGTATTTATTTTCATCATTATTGTTTTGTTTGTTTTTAGGTGCTATATTCAACCACGATATTTCTAGACTGCAGGTGTTTCATGCAGTAGATAACAGGAAGAGAAATTTGATTTGAAACACGAAACAACGGACTGGCAAACCAGGTCGTTTCCAGTGACCTGTTTTCATGCAGATACATCAAAAGACACCTAATACTATATATTTATAAAAAAACAATAATACAATATTTACGATATGTCATCCAGATTGTTTGGTTGAGTGAGCAAATAGCTATATGTTCATGATGAATCCAATTTCTGTTCTCACGACCAAATCGGTTTTAGTAATCTGTAGTGTGATATTTTATTTTATTTGCTGAAGAGGATTTCAATCTCCAGTACGGATATCAATTTTGACGTATTTGCGTAAAAAAAGCTTGTTCACCACTTGGTTGTTCGGTTTGAAACTCTGTTGTCCAGGACAGAGAGCAATCCCTTCAAAAACGGGTCAAAATGACCGTTTAGGAACATTCTAGGATTTGAGAATGTACCCCGGTTTTCTGATTTCACGTTCCGTCAACATTGACCACAGGATGTTTATTGTTTTCAGTTACCTAATCAATAATTTGGACGTTTCGTTCAGAAACTAAGCAACCACTACAGTCTTGCTTATATATGAAAACCGATCGGTCAGAATTTTGCATTTGGAAACAGTTTTCTTCAGAATAAAACTTCCTAAAAGTATTCGCGTCCGTCAGCCGTACTTGACGAGCATAAGAAATCACGAGTTGTAATCTGTGGGGACTCAATTCAAACCATCAGTCAGGAGCAAAATCAACTAATTCCGCTCCAATCCCATCCCCCCCCCACCCCACCCCGGTAATGACGTTTGATTTTCTGATCAACCTCGCCTCATTCCTCGTTTTGATGGTGTACGGTGCTTGAACTTCATGCTTTCAGATTGCTTGCACCTCTTACCAAAGGTTAACCGATTGACAAATGATTTCGTTTCGGCTCATGACGATCTAACTCCGTGCTAATGGAGTGATCAATCAGGTATTCTGTGAGGCATTTGCGGTATCAAATCGAATACATCCTTTACATCTGAGTAGATAAAAATCTGCACTTCCAATCAAACAGTGAGATTGCAGAGGAACTCAGGACTGTTTTTGACCGAAGTGAATTAACAACCTACAGTAGCATGCCCTGATCGCATCAATGATTCAAGTCAGTGGCAGTTGTTGCTACTTACCCGTCTGTCGTCATTTCGTGACCTAACAGATCAGATTAGGGGCAATGTGCTGTTCCCGTACATAAATCATTGACGGTTTGTGAGTTTGTTGGGTCCGGGAATAGTTCAGGCAGCCGTATCGGTGACAATCAAACAGTCAGATCAGCAATACTGAGTTTGGAATCGGCAATCATCGTCGAGTAAGCCATCTAACATAAAGAGTATATTAGTAGCACAACTGAAAGACTGGATAGGGCTTTTTTCTGCAAATGTTTGACTAGATCTGTGTCTCACTTGTGACCAGAATCTGCTCGCATTCCATGCAGATTTTACTGGGACTTTACTTTACTTGTCATATGCAACGCACTTTCATTAACCGTGCAAATAGTACCATCTTAAGGTGGTTATAAACGGAGTTTCATCGGAACTCAATGAATTGAGAAATCCGAAACGTGAAAATGTTCACAGCTCTCACACTAGGACGGGCAAACACATAAGTGCCGGAAATTAGTAACAGTGACAAATGAGCTTGCGAGATCCGTGATGAGGTGAAAGATAAATTGTGATTAGTTTCATTAAATCATACACTAACAGAACGATATATTCTAAACAAAGTTTAGCGGTGAATTATTGTCTAGCCACGTTGCATTTTGACAGACGTTTTAACCATATTACGTCTAACAAACCGGATTTTCCGGCATATATTGATTTTACAACACACGTCACATTTTGCCTTCAAGTTCACCTTGAAAGCTGTTGTTTTCAATCACTCGCACTAAACTATTTCCTCTCACATCTGTTTTTCGATTGTTAAGAGCTGAATGAAGACTACGTAAAACATTGTCCGAATGATGTACTAATCAAATACCCAATAACGGACAAATTACCTGGAAGATTTTTCGACTATGAGAAAAAACAAACAGACAGACAG